TGACCAGGATGGTCTCGATCTCTTAACCTCGTGATCCACCCGCCTCGGCCTCCCAAAGTGCTGGGATTACAGGCTTGAGCCACCGCGCCCGGCCCATAACTGATATTTTAAAATGATGTATTGGCACATAAAATTAGATGCTCTACTCACCCAATTTTGAAACTTTAAGAATTCTTCAATACTCTTTGGAGGTTCTTGCATTTCCTAATAAAGTAAAATCAATATTGTTCATTGGCATAAATTCAGACTGTTTATAATATTTACAAATAATTAAATATGTTACTCTATTTAAGTTATCATTTTCAAAGCAGTAAGATATCATAAAATGCTCACTTTGTACCATCCCTCCACTTTGAAAAGGGACATAAATGTTTACATTCTCAGCCTCCAAACCAAATTTTGTAATAGGCTTCCTTCTTATACACTATCCATAGAGAAAAACTCCACGTGAATCTTGCTTAAGGCCCTCATTTCAGATTCCTAAAGACTTCCAAGATATTTTGGGGTATCATGGATAGTCTATAATAAATTCAGAGCCAAAAACATAATATGTTCTTGCTGATTAAGTATTTTTAAAAGTTAATCAGTTACACAGTGAAAATAAATTTAAATATTTGGATGTTTCAGTCTAACATAATAATCACATTTTTAGTAGTTTCTTTGTGCTTTCAAAATGTGTTCAACATTAGACAAATTAATTTTAATCAAGACCACACTTTTCTCCTTTTTGCCTTAGAGACTTTGCATACATTCTTTCTTGTGTCTAGAAGTCTCCCTTTCCCAAACTCTCTTCTTCCAATCCCTTCTTGGCCTGTTTAACTCTTACTTCAAATAACAAATTAAAAGTCACTTTGTCCAGCAAGCCTTTCTTATCCCCCAAAGTTTTCTCCATGGTGGCATACAGTAGATTATCTCTATGAGGACAGAAACTTATGGTACAATCATGGCTGAATTTTCTAAATTTCACACAGTGGCTGGTTCACAGTCAATGCATAATAAGTACATTAAAGCATAAATGTGTAGATGAAGGGCAGAAATGCGTAGGTACTTGAAAAATAATAAAAATCCTTGTAGGGAATGAAAATCCAGTGAGAAGAAGGCAAAAGTAAGAGCAATTCAGAAGTCAAATACTCTAATATCCATGGTGATATCACTGGAAAGATTGTATTACATTTTTATTTATTAAAACACATATTTCTCATCAATATATAAAACGGTCAAGATTACAGAACAACAAGGTCATGCTTTATAAAAAATCTATAAAAATAATGACATTTGAGTTGGGGATATTTCATTCATCTAAATATATGATCAATGTAAGGAAATATATAATTGATAATGCAAGAAGAAGATAGAGTGTATGTAACAACCATTACAGAAAACGAGTATTTAGTGAGAGTTAAAAATTTAAACAACTGAACTCATGGAGACAGAGATAGAATGCTGGCTGCCAGATGGTGGGAAGGGTAGTGGGAACTAAAGGGAAAGTGTGTATGGTCAATGAGTACAAAAATATAGTCAGGGTCAGGAATAGTGGCTCATGTCTGTAATACCAGCACACTTTGGAAGGCCAAGACAGGAGAACTGCTTGAGCCGAGAGTTTGAGACGAGCTTGAGCAACACAGTAAGAGCCCATCTCTATAAAAAAGAAAAAAAAAAAGTAAAAACCAACAAACAAAAAACCAGAATGGCCAGGCAGGGTGGCTCATGCAGATAAGCCTAGCACTTTGGGAGGCCAAGGTAGATGGATCACTTGAGATCAACAGTTCGAGAGATCCCCAAACCCCCGTCTCTACTAAAAATACAAAACAGTTAGCCAGGTGTCCCAGCTACTCGGGAGGCGGAGGTGGGAGAATCACTTGAACCCTGGAGGCAGAGGTTACAGTGAGCCAAGATTGTGCCACTGCACTCTAGCCTGGGCGACAGAGTGAGACTCTCTTTAAAAAAACAAATAAATAAAAAGGCTGAGCTAGATAGAATGAACAAGATCTAATATTTGATAGAACAACTGGCTAACTATAATCAACATTTTAAAATAAACAAAACAGTATAACTGGAATGCCTGCAACACAAAGAACTGATAAATGCTTAAAATGATGGAAACCCCACTTACCTCTGGTATAATTATTATACTTTGTATGTCTGCATCGAAAATTAACTTATGTATGCCACAAATATGTATACTTATGATGTACCCTTAAAAATTAAAAAAAGGAAAACAAATTGTTTAGAAAGAAGCAAAGATGCATAGAGATGTGAAGAAAATGTTATGGGAAACAGGAACTCTAGAGCTAGTCAGATTGAAAAGAATGAGAGATATGAAAGATGGTGTGCATATCCTCTATAGCAATTTGGCTAGAAGGAACTTGCAATACATTAAAAGATATACAGAATTAAACTTAATGAAAACAGTTTAAGTATAGACTTTTTTTCTTGTAATGGCTGTCAAATCACTCCTAGTACAAAGCACCAAAAATAATATGCACATTTAAAGAGAATTAGAAAAAGGAATTAAGAAGTGAAACTTGCACAGTAAAGTCCCAATTAATTTCAAAATTCCGTGTTTCTCTTGGAATTTTAAAGTTTTGGAATTTAAAATTAAATGAAGGAATTTAAAGTTAAAAGAATTGGAATTTAAAACAATCTTGGAATTTAAAGTTAAAAGAAGGTAAGGTATAAATTAAACAGATTTCTATTTTTGGTAGGATGTAGAAGGATATAAAACACCTATACTTCCATTGGACAAATTAAAATCATACTTTTCTATGGGGTTAGTGAAAAGTGTTAAATGCCAGGAGGCAGGATCTGGTTATATAACTTGTAAACATTCAGAGTTCCTTGTTAAAAAATTATTAAGAGTTTGAAGATAATAACATCAGAGCATTAAACCAAATGCATGGTACTTCTCAGCATAAGGCCCTGTGCAACTATAGAAGTTCTAAACTCATGAAGCTGAAAACAAGCCTAATTGTCCCATAGAACTAATGTTTATGGTTTCTTTAAATAAACATAGAAATTAATCCTCTCCGTCTTAAAACCTGAGAAAGTTACGTTTGTCTTTTCTGAGTTCTTTTCTCAGAAAATTAACCATCAGGCCTCCCAGATAGTGTTAAGGAACTGAAATGTACCAAATCAGTGTATCTTGAAAATGAGCCTCTAGATTCCTTACCATCACCCATCATGACTGCCTAACGGACCACCTGTTCCCTGTTTACCACCTCCTCCTCACCACCCTACCTAATTACTATTTTCCCACACATGGTTACATGTCTTCCCTGCTATATGAAACCCTAATTTTAGTCAGTCAGGGAGATGGATTTGAGACTGATCTCCCATCTCCTAGGCTGTAGCACCCAATTAAAGCTTTCTTCCTTGGCAATATTCATCTCAGTGATTGGCTATCTGTGCAGCGAACAACAAGACCTAGACCAAACCCTTGGTGTTTCAGTGACAAAGCCAGCTCTACCTGGGAGCCTTGATTTCCTGAAATTCCAAGAGAAATGTGACATTTATAAGTGAACATAAAGCTGTGGCAGCTTCCTTACCCTGGGGCCAGCTCTGCTGATCTTTTGACACTTTCGCTGGCCTGTCATGATACAGTAAGTTTGCAGAAATGAAGAGAAATCAGCTGGGCCTTAGGCATCAATGTGAGTTGGGGAACCAAACTGGAGTATGAAAGACACTGAAATGCAAAAATAAATGACTCAGCCAAACAACTCCTTTCCCCTCAACCCGAAACCTCACTTCTGACTTTCACCCAGTGATAATCAATTGGCTCTGTCTCCACTCAAATCTCATGTTGACCAAAAAAAAAAAAAAAAAAAAAAAAGTTGCATACTGGCTAAACCAAAAAATAAATAAATAAATCTCATGTTGAACTATAATCCCCAGTGTTGGAGGTGTGGCCTGGTAGGAGGTGACTGGATCATGGGGATGCTTTCTAACGGTTTTGCAACATTCCCCTAAAGCTGATTTGTGATAGAATTCTCACGAGATCTGATTGTTTAAAACTGTGTGCCATCTCCCCCTTCATTCTTTTCCTCCTGCTCCAGCCATGGAGGATGTGTCTGCTTCCCCTTCACCTTCTGCCATGATTGTAAGTTTCCTAAGACCTCCCCAGCCGTGCTTCCTATACAGCCTGTGGAACTGTGAGTCAATTAAACAGCTTTTCCTTATACATTACCCAGTCTCAGGTAGTTCTTTATAGCAATGTGAGAACAGACAAATATACCAAGAAAGCAGAAGTGGAGGTGGGGCTGGAAAATATATTTTCTGCTCATGAACCTGGACGTTCTACTATGTCATATAACAAAGGGCATGCATACAACAAGAAATGGACCAGGGAAGGCTAGTAATATAAGCTACTATAACGTTTATAAAAAAGATTGGGCTGGGAGCGGTGGCTTACACCTGTAATCCCAGCACTTTGGAAGGCATAGGCAGGTGAATCATTCGAGGTCAGGAGTTCAAGACCAGCCTGGCCAACATGGTGAAACCCCATCTCTAATAAAAATACAAAAATTATCTGGGCATGGTAACACACACCTGTAATCCCAGCTACTCGGGAGGCTTAGGAGAGAGAATCATTTGAGCCTGGGAGGTGGAAGTTGTGGTGAGCCAAGACTGCGCCACTGCACTCCAGGCTAGGCAACAGAGTGAGACCCTGCAAAAAAAAAAAAAAAAAAAATTTGGCCTGAATTTGTCTATCTTACAATGTGAAGATTTAGAATAAAGTTATGGTCTCAAAAAAACAAAAATGAGTTGGGAAATGCCTCTGTTTTTTCTGTTATCTGAAAGAATTTAAAAATCTGAAAGATCAGTACTATTTCTTCCTCTCTTCCTTAAATGTTTGGTGGACACTGCTAGTTATGTTCCCTGAACCTGAATCCGAAATCATGGGGGAGTTTTAAATTAAGGATACTGTTATAGACCTGATCATGCCCCCACCCCAAATTCATATATTGAAGCCCTAACACTTTTAACAATATGTGACTTTATTTGGAGATGGAGCCTTTGAGGAGATAATTAAGGTTAAAAGAGGCTATAAGAGGGGGGCTCTAATCTGATTAGTGTCATTACAAGAATAGACACCAGAGAGCTTGCTTGCTCATGTCCTCTCTCTCTCTCTCTCCATATACACACAGATATTTTATCTGTAAAAATATCTAGAACTATGAAAATAATAAACTTTGTGTTAAGTCACTTTGCTTGTTTGCTGTTTGTTACAGCACCAATAAGAAATATGAGTGATTTTTTTCTCAGTATTTTGCAGATGTGAAAAATGCCACACACTTAATTCATGCTCTGTTTATATAAGAGAAGAGGCTTTGTAAGGACGTGGTAAGAAGGCAGTAATCTACAAGCCAGGAAGAGAGGATTCACTAGAAACTAATACTGATGGCAGCTTGGTCTTAGATTTTTGGCCTTCAGAACTGTGAGAAAATAAACTACTGTTGTTTAATTCATCCACTCTGGTATTCTATTATAGTATTCTAGGTAGACTGATACAGATATAATCTATCAAAATTAATATAGGATTATCCAGCTATTCTATTACTTCTTATATTAATTTTGGTAAATTATTTTTTAAGAAAAATTAAAATGTCAAGTATTTTGATATAAATATTTATTCTTAGTATCTTCTTATCTTTGCAATTGGTAGTGTCTGTGGTGATGTTTCATTTTTCATTTCTGAAATTTGTACTTGAGTCTTCTTTTTCTATCTTGGTCAGTCTACCTAAAGGCTTATCAATTTTATTAATCTTTGCAAGTAACCACTTCTGGCCTTGTTGCTTTTCTTTACTGCACATTTGTTTTTAATTTTATTGATTAATTCTTATTTTTATTGGTCTTTTTTCTTCTTTAAATGTTTGAGAAACTTCCAATGATAAACCTTGCTCTACTATGAAGCTGACTGCTTGACAATTCCTGTTCAGTCACCATGAGCTTTTCATCACCATTGTAATTCTTGTTTTTCAAAATGAATAGAAAGATAAAGACTATTAGACATTTTTGGAATAATTGTGAAATGAAAAATACAAAAACGAAAAAATAGAAACCCTAACAAATGACTAAAAATAAAATCTAGGCATACATAGACAATGTGGGGAAGAGAAGGAAACTTCATAAAAGTCTTTAAGATTCTTAGAGAGCTATAATAAGATAATGCATCCCTGAAACCAAAACCGCATGTTATAAATGAATACAGAATAAGAAAAAATGCAAAGTACAAATATAATGATATAAATTATTCAACAAAATTCTGGTGAAAAATAGTTGAAGAAATCTTCTAGAAACTAGAATAAAAATGTTAAAGTAAACAAGAATCAGAGAATAAAAAACAATAATTTAGGGGATCATGCCAGGAAAATGACTTTCAATCTGTAAATTTAAATACAGACAGGGCATGAATTAAGTGTGTGGCATTTTTCAGATTTGCAAGATACTAAAAAAAAAAAATTTCCCCCCATAATAGTTTCTGATTGCTGCTGTAACAAACAGCAAACCAAGTGGCTTTAAAAAAAACCCAAGTTTATTATTTCACAGGTCTAGAGGTCAGAAATCTGAAATGGGTCTGCAGGGCTATATTCCGTGTGTGTGTGTGTCTGTGTGTGTGCGTGTGTGTGTGTGACAGAATTTTGTTTCTGTCGCCCAGATTAGTAAATTTGTGTAACAGAAAACCCCAAAATATCAATGGTTTAATACATGTTTTTTTCTTCCAAAAGATCTTTTTGTGACAAAAGGGGCTTCTAGAAGTCACCTGCTATCCTTTGCTCAGAGCTCCTCCCTCTAACTTCAAAGCCAGCAGTGTAGAATCTTTTCCCCTCTCTGACATCTTGTCTCCCTCTTATAAGGACTCTTTGATGATGTCCAGCCACCCAGACAATATTTAGGGTAATTTTCCCCATCTCCTTAATCACATATGCAGTTCCTTTTGCCATATAAGATAAAATATCAGTAGGTTCTGGAGATTCAGCTATGTACATCTTTGGGGGCTGTTATTCTGTCTACCACACTCCCATTTACCTTTTTTCAGGAAGGTACTAGAGAACATAGTTCATTTTTAAAAAGGAATTAAGCAAAGAAAAAAGAAACAAGTGATCTAACACACAGGAGAGCAGTGATATGCTGGAGAAACCAGCAATCCTGAATAAACTAAAGGTAATGCTCTAGGAGGAATATCTGTAAGGAAAAAAAAACTACTAGATTAATTGATATATTTTACTGTGATGCTTTAGCAGTTTGCCAAAGTATTTCAGGACAGATTAATAATAAATACATTAAAAACAGCAGTTATTAAGAGAAAGGAAAGTAAACGATTATATTAAAAGTTAATGTGATCTTAGTATACTATGTAGCTTAGGGTTGAATGACATTTACCTAGACAGTAGTGATAACACTAAAAGTTGATTTAACCAAAACCTATGATATCACTATATGGAGAGGTGAAGGGACAAGAAGAGTGTATGAGGTACAAAGAGAATGTTCACACACTTGGAGGTGGTGTTGTTACTAAAGACCTATGTCACTGTCTTCCATAGGAGAAAGTCAACAGGTAATGTCTGAAATTGGAAAATCAAGAAATTGCAATGTAAGTATATTTAGACATAGTGAGTAACAGAAGAAATATTTAAAATACTTGAATTTTCCTTTGGTGAGAAGAATTGAGAATAGAGTGGAAGGGTTAGGAACTACAGGGTTTTCCTTAACCTAGAACGTGGCAAACTGTTAGTGCTCCCCAGTACATGTATGTTTCTCTACATTTCCCAGACTCCCCTGCAGTTAAAGTGGTGGCCTTGGGACTAAATTCTGACCAATAGAATGTGGCCAAATGGATATATCATTTTTAGGGTTGACCTCTATAATTTCTTGGGTGATATTTAACATACTTTCTTTCTTGTCACATAAGCTATGTACCCCAGGTCCTAGAAGGCAGAAGAACCATTCAAAATAAAAAAATTTGGCCTTGAATTTAATATTTCATCTGACTAGAAATAGCCACAATGGATCTTTTGTGAGAAAAAAACCATGTGTATTAAACCATTGATATTTTGGGGTTTTTTATAATAGAAGTAAATTCACTATGCTGGTTTTAAAACATGGACAAGAATTATTTGCCAATCCTTTTAGAAGAGGGATCTATGTCTCCTTTCCTAAAACATAACAGGACTTGTGACTCACTTGTAAGCAAAAGAAAGTGAGGGAAGTAGCACTGTGTTACTTTTTGAAGCAAGGTCAGAAAAGGACAGGCAATTTTTGCTTTGTTCATTGCAAAACTCCCTTTGGAGCTCTGAGTCTAAGTTAAGAAGTCTGATTACCTTGCTGGCATACTGTGAGGAAGCCCTAGCCATATGGAGAGTTATGGAAGCTCTGCTAGCATGCCTACCCACTCTAGTCTTCCTAATTGAATTACCAAAAAAAAAGTGATAACTGTGACCTACTGACAATACCACCTGTGAGCATAATAAAATGTTTGTTTCAATCCACCATATTTTGGAGTAATTTATTCGATGGCAATAGCAAACCAATGCTCTAACAAGTAGTATCATTTGCTTTTTAATCTGTACAATTCAACTACTTTGATAAAACTTAAGAGTTAAGCTAAAAAGGAAAATGATTGTGAATTATTTATTCCTGACTTAGAGACTTTGCTCTTCCACTTTCCTTACCCAGAAAGTTCACCTTTCTCCCTAAAACACTGGCTTTCAAACTTTTTATAGTTTGAAATACACTAAGAAATACATTTTACAAACAAGTAAATACATACATATAGCTTGTATGTATGCCCTAGTGCATACATACAAGCTATATAATTGAAATCTCCATAAAGTACTACTTTACTAAGTAAAATTAAACTTACTCACATGCACTGATATTTTCAATCTATATTGTTTCCTAAGTGCTTACAAATGGATCAAGACCCCACTAATGGGTCCTATACAATCCCCTTTACAGTTGAAAAACACTGTCCTAAACCTGTATCATTCTTCAAGGCCTTACCCAAGTCGGAAAAAGAAGCCTTTCGTGACTACTCCATTCTGAGCTTTCTTGAAATCCCTATAATTTATGAAATGGCGTTTTAATCTCAGTAGTAAGAATATTGCATTTTCTCTACTACCCATGCTTTACTTGTATCGTGAACACTTCTAGGGCATTGTAGTATCCTTTATCTACCACTTGATAAATTCAAAATACTCAATAAACATTGCTCAACATTTGACCGTTGTGTTTCAAAATCTTAGCTGTTAGAGTGTACTTCAATTTGGGCATTCTTTGGGAAGAGGCATGGAAAAATGGTCTAGTAACTTACCCACATATCACACTTAACTTTAGACTGGAAACGCATACAAAGTACTCTTAACTCTATATGCGTGTTTTTATGCAAACCAAATCATAAAGATACAAATGATTTTTCTAATAGCTTTCATTACCATACAGCGCATGAAATAATGATACTGATATAGCCACGAAAGCGTAATAGAGCCAAATTCTTATAACTAAAATATCTTTGAGATGGGTAAAATGCGAACTTTTCTCTGGGTACAACATTTCTTCACAACTCACTGCAACTATGCCTTCAGAGTATGTTTCGAGAACCGCGTCCCAATTATGTTGTCCCAGCAAGGATCAGGAGGAAGCTGGTTGAAAGGCTGCGAGGCGTGAGCCAGGTCCCAGACGAACTCGGCCCTGCCCCCGCCGGAGCCTCTCAGGAGCTGTACAACAAGGCCGCTGAGTGTGAGGGTGAGGCAGCACTTCCCGTTTAACCCCGCCCTGCTGTCGTTCCTGCTCGTGGCTTCAGCCGCGCGAACTGCGGCGTGTCGGGCCCGGCCCTAGCAACACCACTAGTAACGGCCTGGCTCCTCCCTCTGGTGTTACCGGGAAAGCGCTCCGTCTGGTCCGTGCGCGATCACGGCCCGGCGCGCGCCTTGGGCTCGGGTGGAGTTGAAGACGCGTGGAGCTGCTCGACTCGCGGGTGTGCAGGTCTGAGTACCACTCTGATTCCTGGTGCAGGTCTCTGCGCGTGGAGCGTGGTCTGGCCCCAGAGTTGCGGCAGCGGGAAGTCGACGTTCCTTGTCAGGACCCTAGCGGAGATCACGCTGGGTGTCGCCTGTGACGGGGATCCTCGGTCCCTGCGCGGGCTCATGTTTTTTGTTAGGATGTTGCGGGCCCTTGGGGAAAACGTTTCCAAATTTTTCCGCAAAAAACAGTTATTTTTTCCTACCAATGATTTTCGGTGCATTCCGCCCCAACGAAAGTTTGTCCTGGCAAAGCAAAGTCAGTTCCCTAGGAACCCCATTATCTTTTTTTTTTTTTTTTTGGTATTTGGAGTGGTTTGTGGGGGTTATCACGAAAGGGGAAGAGTAGCACAGACGTAGAATTAGCGATGCCATGCAGTGTATTTAAAATACCGAGGTTGTGGTTACGTAATAAGCAAAAGAGGCTGTTTCTTACGTCTAAATTATTTATTGGGAATGTAGGACAAATAAGGAAGTATATTAACATTTTCAGGCGCCAGGTCCACAAAGTTGGGTGGTAAAATCAGTACTTCAGATCGCAACATTTAAGGACTAACCCAATGCACCATGAAAACGAAGGCAAGACCGTCTGCTACCATATGGTGGGTGGTGTGGGAGGGGCCATTAATCCTATATTTTAAAAGGGCCCTACCTTGGATTGTGAAAAATGAATGTTGGACCTCGAGGTCCTATATGACCAGGTTCTTAAAAATACTCTAGCAAGAAAATTTGAAGTGGTTTTTATCTAGTACTAAATAGTCTATATATATAATGTTCCATTGGGAAGGAGGTGAGTCAGCTTACAATAATGAAAGAGGTAGAAGCCTTTTCTGTTATTATTTTGGAAAAAAAAGAAATTGCCAGCCTGCCACCTGTGCTAGGCTGCACATGGTCCGTAAAGGTAGTTTGTCAGATACTTCAGTAGCAAGATGCTTACTGGATGTGTTTTGCAGAATGGTTTTAATTTAGTTAACAAGTGTTTATCGAATTCCTCCTGTTGCATAAGAATCATGAATAGGTGAGATCAGGAAAGGATCTTCTCTTACAGAGTTGAATGCTAGAGGGGCCAGCTTCACGAAAGTACCTCTACAATAAGTGGATTTTTCCATGTCAAATATGTGTAATCAATAATAAGTACTCAAAGATAAAGAGGTTTAAGACCTTGCCATGGCCCATCTATGAGTTAATAAGGAACTGAATTAGAGTCCTGACTTTGAGAGTGAAGATAGAGGATTATGTACAAGGTAGAATTGATGCAAACTTGGTGAGTATAATTAATTTGGGGTGGGAATTGGGTAGAAGGAGGAATAAAAAAATTAATGTATTTTCAGCCCTAAGTTCCAGGAAGATGGACACACCATCAAGGTGTTAAAATTGTTAGTTCCATAGGAATAGTCTTTATGTTTTCTAAGTCTTTTTAGCTCCGATGACTGAAATTGTATTTCCTTGCACATATTTTATGTTAACAGGTATGTTTTAAAGATTTTAAATAGCCGCATTTGTAACATATGATTTACTCACAGTTGCGGCAGGTTGTTGGCTAGGTTAGGACAAATATCCTGATCATGTAGTTTCAGAGACCTTTGGAGGTAGCTGCCCATAATTTACAATTGCTGGCCTCTTCTATGTGGTCACCTCAGCCATAAGTGAGAGTATGCAGGGTGAACTAGAAGATGGAGCCATTAACATTTCTATTTTACTGTCTTACAGGTATCTGTGGTGTTTGATTTTTGTAGAGGAAGGTTATTTATATAAGGCTTCACTAATATCCATTTAGTTATTTGGATAGGAGGTCCGTGAACTACAAAATGGTATTTCTGAGGCATCTCTAAGACAAATGCACTTTGAGGGCCCTAGAATAACTCCAAAAACTCACCAGTAGTTTTCTGCTAAATGTCAAGCAACCACAGTAACTGTCATGACATCACAGGAACTGCATTTTTCAGTCCCACTATGTCCAAGTTTTTGAGTGACAGATGCAGTTCCACTAAATAGCTACTGGAATACCCAGGGAAATAAGTCAGGTTGAATTAGTCCTATCAACTTTCTTTTTTTAGGATGAATCCCATCATCTGAGTAACTCAGGATTATGAAAGCCTCAAAATGTTTCTCTGTAAGAACCACAAGCAACACCAGAACAAACCCAAAGAGGGTTTAGGTGAAACTTAGCCTCGTATGTGCAGCAAAGAGATGTCAATAGAGCATTTGCAACTCTGATTTCTGAGGACTAGTAGGATCTCTTCCCAAACTTTTCTTCTCTCTTTTAGAGATACGATCTCACTTTGTTGTCCAGGCTGTTCTTAAACTCCTGTGCTCAAGTGATCCTCCCACCTTGATCCCCCAAATGCTGGTATTATAGGCATGAGCCACCATGCCCACCACTTTCCAAACTTGGAACTTCTTTACCTCATTTATAGTTAGACTCTAGGAAAGTTCCAAACCTCCTGAAATTGTGTGCAAAATATTATGTTGCATATGCATTTTCTAGGGATGAGGTTTAAGATTTTAATGTGATTCCTAAAAGGATCTGAGACTCAAGAAAAGATGGCATCTTAATTTATTGCACTTTTAGTCATTGAGGACATGTTCACAAAGATTGAAGCCATTTTTAGGCAGGTGATTTAGAGTGGTGGTCAGAAGTAGGTAAGATTTTCTATTTGTGAGGCAGGAAGAAGGGATTGGACCATTGTTCTTAAATACTACTTTCTTACCTAAAATGTAAATCTGTGCCTAATCAGTTACACAGCAAAAATATTTACTATATTTTGGTTTTCCCCCTTGGGTACATTTGGCAAATACCTTTTTCTACTATAACTGGTATCTTTGCATCTTTTTATTTGGGTCTCAAGCTCACTAGGACTTACAATCTTTAAAGAAAAAAATTCATCTGATGAGTAATTAAATTAGGGCCATTAACTTCTTGTCAGCAAATTATGTTGTACTTTGTGTTTCTCTGGACTTTTTGTTCACTTTCTATTTGGGGGACCACAAAGTGTTTCCTATTGAAGTCACAGCATTTCTCTTGTCACTGTTACTACTTAAAGTAGCTGGAGCTTCATAGTTAAACAACAATGCCAGAAGGCTTTATAATAAGAGAATTATTTTACAGCTGTGGAATGCATATCGAATCAATAGGGCCCCAGTGTTGTTTCTCTGTTGAAAGATATCTTCCTTACAGGGTATGCAGATAACAATTTTGGCAGCCATCACCCTTCTTTGAAGGAAATATTAAGTGGGAAAGTTATTTTACTATTCTTCTCTAGCACTAAAGAATATGAATGATGTATGTTTTTAAAAAGCATAAATTCTTAGAGTAAGTGGACATTAATATTACTCTGTAAATTTTTAAAATTTGTAAGATAATATAACATGTATTAATAAGTACTAAAACAGCACACAACTGTGAATTAAATTGAATAATTTTCATTGTACAGACTGAGTAAAATGTTTTTATTTTGTCTCCTCTCGACACTTTTTTATAGGGCACCTATGATATGTGTTTTAGAAATACCTGTTAAACTTTGGTTTGAATGAAGAATGTCTCTCAATCCACCTATATTTCTCAAACAAAGTGAAGAAAATAATTCAAAATTTGTGGAAACAAAACAGTCACAAACTACTTCCATAGCTTCAGAAGATCCCCTTAAAAACTTAAATTTAGCATCTCAAGAAGTTCTTCAAAAAGCTCAGCAAAGTGGGAGATCAAAATGTCTCAAATGTGGTGGTTCCAGAATGTTCTACTGCTATACATGTTATGTCCCAGTTGAAAATGTACCTATTGAACAGATTCCACTTGTGAAGGTGAGTAAGAAATTTAATTGTTTGAAAGTAAGAAAATAGATTTTTAAAAGACATCTCATACATACCTATTTTAATTTAATTGATAAAGGAAGTATATTTATGGAAAATTTAGTCCTACAGACTACTAAACCACTTTGTTTTTCTTGTCTCTGGGTCTGAAATGGTGTTTTTAATGAAGCCAATTTTTCATTAATAATTATAATTTCTTTGCAACATAGGAAAAATTGTGTGATATAAACATATGAATACTAAAAAAAAAGTTTATAGACACCCTGAAGGAGCTGCAAAAACTCAGGTCTTTGTACTGCTCCTTGAGAAAATATTATTCTAGTAGAACTAGTCAATTTTTACCTAGACTTTTATGACTTAATCTTATACATGGGGATGGAGCAGATTTCATTGACCAAAAGGAAAATAAAATTTAAAAACTAAGACTTATTCCCTGGGCTATGTTATCATTAGACTGATTTTAAGCCCAATTTAAAAGGTCATTCGAATTGATTGCTAACATCCCAAACTTTAGGAATAAATCAATTAATGTATAAAATTTGACTACTGTTTATTACGACTTCAGAGAGAGTAAACCCTACACATGGGCTCATTAGAACTTGCCAGTTAAAAAAATAAAATAAAAAAATAAAAAATAATAAGTTGTAGCTGTATTTTTAAATATTTGTTGTGATGATTTTAAAGTTCATTTAAATTTGAAGAAAAGTTCTTTGACACTCATATTTTATTTGAATTTCAATTTAGCCTATATCTTCTTGACCAGTCCATGGCGTCCTCAGCATCTAAAATCACACATATAAGCTAATGGAAAGTTTATTAGCCAAGAATAAGGAAGTGTGGAATTTAATATAAGCTTCACAGTTTGCTCAGAAAAACCAAGAACTTGAGAGTAATAATTATTTTCAAGTTGCCCATTATCTTACAGGAATGTTACATTTTGAAGTATGGTTTTTGAAGTATACATAGAATTATTCTATCTTACAATTATCTCATTATTTTGACTGTAGCACTGGATTCAAGAATTTAATATATGTTAAAACTTATTAGATTGTACACTTTAAATATGTATAGTTAAAAACATAAGAAAAATAGTTTTGTCCTCCAGGGTAAAAGTGTGCCCAGGGTAAATTCCTAGAATCCTATTTATTTAATGTGGAATGGGAACTTGAAGATTGTGGGAAATACCAAATAAAACAAAAGGTCATTTAAAAGCTGAAGTCAAGAACACATCTCCAGAGGGTTTCTTATATATAGTACGGTAGATGACTTGGCATTTTTTTCATGATCATGGCTGAATGCAGTACTTATATAAGCATTATAACAAGAGCTAAACCAAAAAATGCCGAAGCGAAATAAGAAAGTGTAATTTAGAAATCCAAGAGAATATTATTTTTGCATAGAGACATGTTAGTCTGTAACAAATAATGAAACTTTAAGGGAAATACTTAGGCAACAGGGGTCCCAATCCCCAGACCCAGACCAGTACAGTCCTAAGGAACCAGGCTGTACAAGAGGTGAGCTGCCAGAGAGCAAGTGAAGCCTTCAACTGTATTTACAGCCACTCCCCATGATTTACGCTACCACCTGAGCTCTGCCTCCTGTCAGATCGGCGGCAGCATTAGATTCTCATAGGAGCATGAACCCTGTTGTGAACTGCATATTTATGGGACCTAGATTGCAGGCTGTTTATGAGAATCTAATGCCTGATGATCTGTCAGCGTCTCCCATCACCCCCAGATGGGACCATCTAGTTGCAAGAAAACAAGCTCAGGGCTCCTGCTGATTTTACATTATGGTGAGTTGTGTAATTATTTCATTATTTATTATAATGTAAGAATAATAGAAATAAAGTATACAATAAGTGTAATGTGCTTGAATCATACTCTTCCCCAACCCTGGTCTGTGGAAAAATTGTTTTCCATGAAACCAGTCCTTCTTCCCAGAAAGACTGGGGACTGCTTTTTAGGCAAGATGATTTTAAAGAGAGTTTTGTGATATAAAGATTATACCTCTTAGACTTATTGTTACTATTTTTTAAATTGATAATTATTTAATTTGTGCTGTTGAAAATGTGATGCCAAAAATCATGATGTTTACTACAAAGGATAACAGTTTTGACCTGAAAGTATATATAAGGAACAGAATTTCAACTTGAATTTTAGATCTGAAGCTTTTTGCTCAAACTTACATTTCCTTTTAAAATAGCATAAGAGGCCAGGTGCAGTGGCTCACTTGTAATCTCAGCACTTTGGGAGGCCGAGGCAGGTGGATCACTTGAGGTCAAGAGTTCAAGACCAGCTTGGCCAACATGGTGAAAAACCATCTCTACTTAAAAAAAATACAATTAGCTGGGCATGGTGGCAGGCGCCTGTAATTCCAGCTACTTGGGAGGCTGAGGCAGAATTGCTTAACCAGGAGACAGAAGTTGCAGTGAGCTGAGATTGCACCACTGCACTCTAGCCTGGGTGGCAGAGTGAGACTCCATCTCAAAATAAATAAATAAAAATAAAATTAAGTAGGCAAACCTAGAGTTTATAGGAATTATAAAAATGTCCATGGCACACATACTGAAATGCAATAACTTAAATGAAAATGACATTGGAGCTTTGCTGTAAGAGAAGATTCTGTGTTAAATGAGTTGAAAATAATTGTCCTAATACATGATTAACAATTCCAAGGAAGAAATTTGAGTTTGCTTTGTAACAATCACCATTCTTAATATTCTGGTTGAGAAAAGTATAACTTTTAAACCATATGCATATGTATAGGAATTTATTGTGAGCTTCCTATGTAGCTTTAGAGACCCTTTGTATTAACATAAAAATTAGAATGTTTATATTTGTTTTTTTATTTGTCCCTTTTTTTACCTTTAGCTTCCATTGAAGATTGACATCATTAAACATCCAAATGAAACAGATGGCAAAAGTACTGCTATACATGCAAAACTCTTAGCACCTGAATTTGTAAACATTTACACATATCCTTGTATTCCAGAATATGAAGAAAAGGACCACGAAGTAGGCAACTTATTTTTTATAACTCTTCACATTGGATATAAAAATGAATTTTAACCTCCATTGCCTTTCTGAACTTACTCAAACATAATTTAATATTTTTCTTCATAAGCTAGCATTATGCTCAGGTAGCATTAGACAATATACAGTATATTTCATTGATATCTTCAAAGGTCACATGATTCTAGACTGCTATGCTTTTTGAGTCTCTCTGCATTTTATAGCTTTTCTGCCTTATGTCTTTAGGTTTTTACTCTTTGCCAATATTAATGTGCCTGCTTTTACTTTTTCTCCTCTCCTCCTGTCTCTGCTACACATAGATGATCTAATTTGATGCAAACTGGGAAACCAGATTACAAGTGTTGTTGGAATTTCTCTAAAAGAAGAAAACTGAGTTAGGATGTTCAGGAATCCTCCTAAATTAAGAGCTTTAATGCATAGCCTTTATAACATTTCTTTTGGCTGCTTAGAGGCCTTCCTTGCTCATTTTTAGATTCTTAATTGGTTTTCACTTAGTTGCAATTGTCACATTGGTGAGATGGGTCTTCTTGCTGAAAAGCAATTTTGCAATATGTCTCAAAAAATTAGGCCTTGAGTACTGAAAGAAGCATGTAAAAGCCTTTTGGTCTCTTGGAGGCCATTTGTTGGTGTGGCTGATCTAGAAACAAAATTAAAAATTCATTCATTCATTTGTTCCAGGAAGAACTTGGTAAATTTTTACTTTCCTATTTATCTCTCTCTATATGTATTTTTTTGATTGAGTTTATATAGAAAATTATGTTTGTAAGTAATATTTAAGTTTTGGATCTAGGAAAATGCTTCCTTCTCTGGTCAGCTAGAGTCCATTTATGTTGATTAGAAAATGTAGTGCTAGGTTCTGTAAGGAGATGTGATATGCTTAAAATCTAAGAAAATTCAGAAGCGCTGGACTTTGCTAACTGATTATAGGGGGAAATATAGACATGTATTATGCATATTTTTAAACTTTCACAACTTTGAAATTTATAAAATTCAGGTTTTTTGCTTTTTGACAGAGTCTTGCTCTGTTGTTCCCAAGTTGGAGTGCAGTGGCACGATCATAGCTCGCTTCAGCTTTAAACTTCTGGGCCCAAGCAGTCCACCTACCCCAGCCTCCAGAGTAGCTGAGGCCACAGGCATATGCCACTACTCCCAGCTAAGATTTTTATTCTTTGTAGAGACTGGTCTCACTATGTTGTCCAGGCTGGTCTCGAACTCCTGGGGCTCAAGTGATCCTTCCACCTTGGCCTCCCAAAGTACTGGGATTACAGGCATGACCCACTGTGCCTGCCCAAGATTTTTTTGTTTTTTAATTTTATTTTATTATGATTTTGTTTTTATCTTTTTATTTTAAAAATTTTTATGCTCATTGAATAAAATTTGGGAAATAGAGAAACATATGGGGATAAAATTCCCTTGATTCTACCAACATTTATTCACTTAACAAATATTTACTTGGTGCGTGCTTCGTGCCAAGAGCTGTTCAGACATTGGAGGCTCTAACAATATCAATCTCAGTAAAATTGTGCTGAAAGAAAAGAGCTATCGTAATTCATAAAATTTTCCTGGAAGGTTAGTTTTTTTCATTTAATTTTTCACTGTAATAAATATACTTAGATATTGTGCATGTGTGTGTTTAGGATTATTTTATTATGTTACCATAATGAAATCATTTGGCAAAAGGGTATGAATATTTTAAGACTCTTGTTTTAAATTGTTAAATTGCTTTCATGAAGAGTTATGCTATTTAATCCTGACCTCAAACCACTGTTTCTTCACCAGCATTCACTGTCATTTGTTTTATCTTTGCTTATGATATAGATGAAAATGGCACTTAATGACTGAAGAGTTTCAGTGGTTGTTTTACAAAGTATCATGTACTTTGCTTTTTATCTTATTAAAAAATTATATAATTTAGTCTTCTTATTTCAAGTATGATTAACTTGGCCTCTGTCAGTCGGTGAATAACATATTTTGAAATAATACTTTTAATTAGTATATTATGATTATAAATTACTAGGAGAGAGCTAGAACTTTACCATACATATTAAAGAGGCATATGCAATAGAACCAACCTACTGCTTGTTTCTCAAATATTCAACGTTTTTCTTAAAATTTTATTTTATTTTTTATTTATTTTTTTTTTTTTGAGACGGAGTTTCGCTCTTGTTACCCAGGCTGGAGTGCAATGGCACGATCTCGGCTCACCGCAACCTCCGCCTCCTGGGTTCAGGCAATTCTCCTGCCTCAGCCTCCTGAGTAGCTGGGATTACAGGCACACGCCAACATGCCCAGCTAATTTTTTGTAGTTTTAGTAGAGACGGGGTTTCACCATGTTGACCAGGATGGTCTTGATCTCTTGACCTTGTGATCCACCCGCCTCGGCCTCCCAAAGTGCTGGGATTACAGGCTTGAGCCACCGTGCCCGGCCTTAAAATTTTAAATCAATCAAAATTTCTATATTTTGAAGATCATAATAGCACACTGCTAACCCAGTTTTATTTGTTTTAGGTTGCTCTCGTTTTTCCTGGACCTCAGTCTATCTCAATAAAAGATATTTCTTTTCATCTGCAAAAAAGGATTCAAAATAATGTTAGAGGCAAAAATGATGACCCTGACAAGCCATCTTTTAAACGCAAAAGAGCTGAAGAACGTGAGTTCTGTGATTTGAATGACAGCAAGTGCAAAGGCGCAACACTGAAAAAAATTGTATTTATAGATAGCACCTGGAACCAAACAAACAAAATAATCACTGATGAGCGACTTCAAGGTAAAAAAAAATGTTTTTTGGACTGCTCTTCCCTCAGACTTATTTTGAAAAACAGACAATATGAAAGAAGAGTTGGATTTAATACCTATACATTTAGCCACATTTGCTTTATTTCTCTTTCTCTTTATTACGTATATGAGTATGTATTTATATATTCTATATTTTTTTTGTTTTTTTGGTTGACCAATTGGAAGTTGACCAATCAGGCTTTGTAAAACTTCACCCTTAAATATTAAGTGTACATTTCTATTTTTTTTTATTTTTTTGAGACAGTCTCACTCTGTTGCCCAGGATGGAGTGAAATGGTGCGATCTTGGCTCACTGCAACCTCCTCCTCCTGGGTTCAAGCGATCCTCCCACCTCAGCCTCTCATTTAGCTGGGATTATAGGTGCCCGCCATCATGCCTGCCTAAATTTTGTGTTTTTAGTACAGACGGGGTTTCACCACATTGGCTAGGCTGGTCTCAAACTCCCAACTTCAGGTTCTCCTTCTGCCTTGGCCTCCCAAAGTGCTGGAATTACAGGCATGAGCGACGACGTCTGGCCTAAGTGTACATTATCTAAGAATAAGAATATTCTTCTATATTAATAAAGAAATGACTTCTCTGTTATAAACACCCTAATGGTGAACACATTTACCAAGAAGTTATATCTTCTCTTTGGTTTTTTGTTTTTTGCCTTACAGTTTTTGTTTTATTTTGTTTTTTTGAGACAGAGTCTTGCTCTGTCACCCAGGCTGGAGTGTAGTGGTCCAATCTTGGTTCACTGCAACCTCTGCCTCCTGGGTACAGGCAATTCTCCTGCCTCAGCCTCGCTAGTAGCTGGGATTACAGGCACACACCACCATGACCGACTTAAGTTTTTTGTATTTTTAGTAGAGACAGGGTCTCACCATATTGGCCATGGTGGTCTCAAACTCCTGACCTCAGGTGATCTGCCCTCCCTGGCCTCCCAAAGTGCTGGGATTATAGGCATGGGCCATGGTGCCTGGCCTGCCTTACAGTTTTTAAAAATAACTTTATTAAGGAATAATTAATATATAATAAACTACACATATTTAGAGAGTATAAAAGTTTTCTCATTTGTGTACAGCCATGAGACCATCACTACAAGTAAGAAAATGAACCTATCCATCCCCTGCCAAAGTTTCCATCTGCCATTTTATGATCTTTCACATCCAGCTTTCCTCACAGCACTCTCCAACCCCATCTCTAATCTATCAATTGTCTCTATCTAATCATTTTAGATTAGATGCATTTTCTGGAATATTACATAAGTTGAATCATACAGTATGTATTCTTTTCCTTTTTCAGTTTGGCTTTCTCACACAAAATAAATAACTTGACACTCATTTTTCTTGTAGCGTGTATCAATAGGTCATACATTTATTTCCAACTAGTATTTTGTTGTATGGGTATGCTACAATTAGTGTTACCTATTTATCTGTTGATGGATATTTGTACTGGTTGTTCCTCATTTTCTGCTGTTTCAAATAAAGTTGCTATGATACTTGTGTTAAAAAAAAAAGTATGTTCTCCTGTATAATAAATACAGTACCATTATTATTCCTAAGAAAATTAATGAAAATTCCATCATATCATCTAATATACTGTCCATATTCAAATTTCCCTAACTGACCCCAAAATACTTCTTGTAGCTTCCCCCCTACAGCATTTAAACTTATCACAGTTTATTTGGTTATTATGTATATTTAGTCTCTTATTTAGAGCAGTCTTGTTTTTGTTTTTCATGACTTAGACTTTTGTGAAGAGTACAGGTCAATTGTCTGAATGTTTCATTGTGATTCATTTCAGTCTAAATATGTTGGCTAGGACACTTACAGGTAAGGATAAATCCAGGGTTGTCTATGTCTAGTTTATATCTATTGTTTTGGTATAATTATTAATAGCATGTCATTGCACTCTCAGAAATGAACCTTTTAGCTGATAAATTGTATGGTTAACCAATTCATAGGTGAATTCATACTTTATTGTTGCATCAAATTAGGAGGCATATAATGCAAGTTGTTGTTCTATTATTTGTGATAATTTTCATTACTTGATTAAAGTGGTGATTGCCAGTTCTCTCTTTTATTAAGGTTTATTTTTTCTTTTTGTAAGTAGTAGTAATCTATGGGTGATGTTTTCAGACTATGGACTGTTTCCAAAAACTTTTCACCAAGTAGTTTTAGTATTCATTGATGATCCCTGCGTGAATTGAATAATTACATTGAGAATTGAAAAATGGTGAAATTTTAATTACACGATTTCTTCTACATTTGTTAGCCAGTATTCTTATGTAAAGAAGAGCTTTTCCTTTTTCTCTTGTTCTTTATTTCTCTCTCTCCTACCTCTTTTTGAGATCACTATGAACTTATGGATTTTTTTCTCTAATTCATTATGTTATAATCTATTATAGCATATTGATGCTCATCTTTTTGATACAATCTTTTTGATGCTCGAGTTCTCTCAAATTTTGTCGGTGGAAACCCTTCAAGTACTTCATGGCATGGCCTCCTTTGTCCTTTTGGTACAACAGACAAGTTGATTTGTACTTTTTTTCTGCCTCAGACCTGGAATCAATTGTTTTTCTAAGAAGCTGTAGTTGCTTTTAATAGGAAATGGTATTAGAAACTAAGATCTGGTAAATTCATTACTATTGGGATGTCATTCCTTCAGTGGATAGACCCAAGAAAAATACATAGTTATGCATCATGAGTTCACACAGATAGTTTTAATTCATATTTAACATTATAAGGATTTTTATTTATTTTAGAGTGAAAAGCTTGGTTCCTAATAACAGTCGTTTAAAAGAGTTACTTTACTTGCCTATGTATGATTAGAAGGCAAGAAAGCTATTCAGTCGATATTAGGCAATTGCCAAAACAGTTTTAAATTGGGAGAGCTTCTCTCAGGCTAGTGTTAAAAATGTGCATTATCTAGAAAGAACATTTTGACACTTTTTGGAGTCTGGTGTTCATTAATACCAAGCTGAAGTGAGTGACAACACTAGATTTAACTAGCTTAATTTATATAGTTTATGCATCTGACATCTTCATACATGTTAGTAAGGTTGCTTTGACAGTCTAATTGTGTGTTCTTTGTGTTGTATGTGTGTGGGAGAGAGGGAAGGGCAGGTACTAAGGAGCAGAAGATCTGAAAGAAATTTTGTTGCCAGTGTTTAATAGAAAGACAAACTCCTGAGCCCTAGGGCTGTGCTCTTTGAAAGAGAAAGGGAACACCGCCTGCCACATTCCCATGGATGTTTACAGCAGCAGGTTACTCGCCAGTTTGAAGATATTTCTGAGCGATTTTTCTTTATTGTTACCTTATATGGTAATTGAAAAGATCAAATAAAAAAAATAAGTAAAAACCCTTAACATAACTATAAAAGGAATTATGTGGTATTATTCAAAATCTCATTTCAGAGTGTTCACATTTGGCTTGCCTAAAATCAGATTTGTACAAAAGATTTTTGTTATTCCTTCTCAAGTCACATAGGAAGTATCATATATTTTAGTTCTATGACAGATCAAAAATTTTTAAAGGGGCTTCTTAATCTTTAAAATTATAAAAGAAACATTTCTAGAGGGAAGTTTTCTGCATGGCCTACTTCAACCCCTGTCCTTTGTAGCTCTTTATTGCACCACAGGAAATAATTAGGGCTCTACACTTATTTGTAACCTCTGTATATGTAAAATACTAATTTCTAAATAAACCAAGTTACTTCCATAAGAAACAGTCCATGTTTGTTATAAATTTTTGGCTTTAGGCTTTAAAACTTTTTGTCATTTCATGGGATTAAGCTGAACAAACTAAGTTAAACCTCAATTAAACCCTCAGGTATATTGGAAATAATCTTTCCATTATCTTACTATGAATACTGAGGTTAAGAATCCCCTTAACAATGTAAAACCGGACTGTTTTGCCAAATTTTTACAGAGAAATAGTTCTGTATGTTCTACCAATGTCAAAATAAAGCACTTGAAGTTAGAGTGCCTAATTTAATCATAAAAGGTAAACCTAAACCTGCAAGTGAAGAATTATGTAACATTCTTAAAGATTTACCATAGGAAGCCTTGGCAGAAAGTAGAGGGACACATTGTTTCTTTTTGTTGGGCTGGAGTCCAAATTATTTAAACATCATTACGCTGTAATTTGTTTTAAAAAATTAACCAGCTCTTTCCCTTCATTTTGACTATATATTGATACAACTTTTAAAGTGATAACTTTGTTCACATTATAAGCATTGCCTAAACTACACTCACTGTGTCAGTGAGTACTGTGTCATATACTACCTTATTCAATCCTCACATCAAATGTATGAGGTAAAGGATGTCATCCTCACTTTGCAATTGAAGAAATTGAGGCAGCACTTTTGGAAGGAAAAGCAATTTGTAATTATCTACTTTAAGTTTCTCCTGCTAAAATATTTTACTAGTTTGGAACCAGGTGTAGTGGCTTATTCCTGTAATCCCAGCACTCCAGGAGATGACGGCGGGATTATCACTTGAATGCAGAAGTTCTAGACCAGCCTAGACAACATAGCAAGACCTACATCTCAACAAAAAATAATTAGCCAGGGGTGGTAGTGTGCACCTGTAGTCTCAAGTACTTGAGAGACTGAGGCAGGAGAATTGCTTGAGCCCAGGTGTTCAAGGATGCAGTGAGCTATGATCATGCCACTATACTCCAGCCTGGGTAAGAGAGCAAAATGCCACCTCAAAAAAATGTTCACATTTTTACTATAATTTTATTATAAAGTTACTAATTGTTAGAAATACTAGGATATAAAAAATCTTTTTGCATTCAAGAAACTGAAATATTTAATGTGTTCTAGAATGCGTACATATATGAGGCCGGTAGAAAAGACTGGGGAAATTCAAATTATAAATGTCTTATTTTATTTAGCATATCTGGGAATTTGTTCTTTTATCCATAGGTGCTGTGGCATCATTAAAGAATTTTAAGCTTGTCATTGATATGATTAGATTGAATTTAAAGTCTAATGGAAAGAATTAGGCTGGGATGTGACTTCCAGCTCTAATTCTTTCACTAAATAAGCAAAGAGGTTTTGTTTGTTTGTTTTTCACTGTTTTATATTCTTAAATTGTGATACATATGAAAGAATACACACACATGCACTCACACACATATATATGTAACATTGTTATAAAACATATATAATGAATTATTAAGAGCTCATGCATCAAGATAGTATTTCTAACTTCCTTTTATTCATGTTCTTCTCCCTTGTGCCATTCTTCTCCTTCCCCTGACAGTTAATTATTTTCCTGGATTATGCTTTTATAATTACAGTATTACATATATCTGTTTTCATAAACTATGTATTATTTAGTTTTGCTTTATTTTGACCTATATGTTGTTTTCTTGTGACTCGCTTTCTAAAGTCATATTTTGTTTCTCAGATTTATCTATATTGTCATATCACTGTAGCTATATTTTATTCAATTTCACTGCTGAATAATATCTGTGAGTATACTACAATTTATCTAGTTTCCTGCTAATGAAACACTTTGGTTATTTCTAGTTTTTGCTATTACAAATAATGTACTACTCACATTCTTGTGCAAGTATAAGCTCCTCTAGGAAACATACCGAGGTGTCACATTGCTGAGTTGTTGAGTATGAGAATATTCACCTTTACAAGATAATGCCAAATTGTTTTTCAAAGTGTATATACAAAGGAATATTTCCATCATTAGTGTATAAGAGCTCCAACGATCCATAATCTCTCCTACCTTGGTATTATCAAATGTCTGATTTTTGCCAATCTGGTATGTATAAAATGGTGTCTCAATGTCATCTTCATTTACTTTTCTCTAATTCCTAATTGGATTGAGAATTACATTATTTGTTTATTTGGCCATATACAGGTCCTATTCTGTGAAATATCTATGCCCATTTTTTTTAGTGCTTTATCTTAATTGATGTGTAGAAATTATTTATATATTCTAGAATATAGATAATATTGTAAAATACCTTCTTGCAGTTTGTGGTTCATCTTTTTAATCTCTTTCTTTTGAGGAAAAAAATTCTTAGTGTGGAATTTATCAATATGTCTTTATCTTGTTTGAATATTTCTCTTCTCCAAGATACTATATGGCTAATAATTTGCTTTAGATTTTTTGTATTTTCTGTGTAAGTAATGTCAATTGCATTTATTTTCATTTCTTATGCATCTAATTAATTTGTTGTTCTTTATTACTATGTTAAATAAGACCTCTAATGCAATATTTAATTGAAGCCCCGTAGAGGTCATCCATCTCATGTTTCGATCTGATAATCTATGTCTTTTAAATAGCAACTTTAGTTTATTTACATTTGCTGTGAGTATTGATATAATTGGATCTACTTTCTACCATCTTAATTTTTTGTTTGTCCTTTTTTATAATTTTTGTTTCTTTTGATTGAGTGAGCTTTTTTCTTATTCTATTTTGTTCTTTTAGAGAATTGCACACATAACCTAAAAAGTTCAAAGCCAGACATGTTAAACGTCTCCTTTTTTACATTATATGGACTTCATATGCTGAAGCTTCATTCAGCCTCTTCCTGGTACACATTATTATTGTTAATATCATTATTTCTGTTCTGTTCTTTATTGTCAGTCTACAAATTAGATATTATTATTATTTTTGTTTTATACAGGCAACAGTTATCTGAATTTGCATAGATGTTTACCATTTTCTTTACTCAGTGTGTTATCCAATACATCCTTTAGGAATTCCTTTAATTTGGTCTCTTGTTGGCATATGTTCAGTTTTCATTTGTTTATTAATGTCTGTCACTTTTTTCTTGATACGTTGTTCTGCTGGGTTCATGATTTTAGGTTGCCAGTTTTGTTTTTTGTTGTTTTTGTTTTTTCTTTTTTCTTTTTTTTTTTGACACTTGAAAGATATTATTCTAGTGTCTTCAGTATACTGTTGTGGCCAATGGGAAGTCTTTGGTCATTCTAATTACCTTTTCTTTGTATATGATCCATCCCTTCTCCATGGCTTCTTTTAAAATCTTCTCTTTATCTTTGATGTTTTGCAGTTACATAAGTATGTAATAGATCTAGGCACTGATTTGTTTGTATTTATACTGCTTGAGACACATTATGTTTTATGTATTTGTGGCTTTGCATAGTTGAAAACAGTTTCTAGAAAAGTCATAGGCATTATCTATTTAACTGCTCTCTCTCTCTCTCTCTCTCTCTCTCTTTCATTTTCTTTGTTCTCTTTTCCCCAAACTCTTTTTAGTTATTTAATCCTCCTTATCTCTTAATATCTTTGCATTTCTTTTATTATTTATTTATTCTACATTTCTGGGGTAGCTTTTGAGAAAAAGTGAGATGTGACAGTGGGCAATCATTAATGACTTAGAAGTTCCAGTTGGTCATTGGGCCAATTTTGATGCTACCTTCTCTCTTTTATTTCTCAGTTTAAAATAAAATTTGCAAAAACAAACAAAAAGGGGGCAAATAAATATAGTATGAGTCCAATTACTGGCCAACGGAGCTAAAAGCATTCTGGATTTGTATGATGACAGCTGAGTTATAACGGATGAGAGTACTGTTCTGTGATTGCATTAATTATTCCCCTTTTAAATGTGCAAGAGCAAGGCATTCTACCTGACTATGATATTGAGGCTCTGCAGCATACATGTAACAGAGCTAAAACAAACAAAAGACACCATAGCTTTAGAATACTCTGTTCATAAAGATAGCCTGAAAGTGATAATCAAGAAGTAAACTTTAACCAGTATTAAGGACCATTAAGCTGCCTATCTCTCTCAGTTAATGATATTTTAAAGGTCAGTTTAGGCCAGGTACTATAGCTCACACCTATAATCCCAACACTTTGAGAGGCCAAGGCGGGAGTATCATTTGAGCCCAGGATTTTGAGACCAGCTTGGGCAACATAGCAAGACACTATCTTTAAAGAAAAGAAAAATACAAAATCTTAGCTGGATATGGTGGTGTGCGGATGTAGTCCCAGCTACTTGTGAGGCTGAGACAGGAGGATCACTTGAGTCCAGAAGTTTGAGGTAACTGTGGGATGTGATCACGCTGCTGCGATCTAGCCTGGGTGACAGAGCAAGACCCCATCTCTAAACAAACAAAAATATTAGTTTGTCAAGGAAATGAAACCCTTCTGAAAATTGGTGAATGTACTCCTGTCAGAGATTCAGATTTTTAAAGATGCTGGTACATAGAAGATAAGACATGAATATCTTAAATGTTAACTACTTTTAATTCATTGGTCTAAGACTCAGTGTTAACTGTCATGTATAAGATTTTATTCTTTGTTTTATGTTGCTTCTGTATATACCTTAAGGTGTTTAAGAAAATATCTTATTTCAAGCTGGTTTTGAAGGAAGTTATCTGTAGTCTTTAAAAAAAAAGTGTTAGAATAATTAAGAGAAATCATTATTATTGTGCCAGGCCTGTGGTTAAGAAGAAATATTTATATTTTTTCTTTCTTTCTTTCTTTTTTTTTGACAGGGTTATTACAAGTTGAGTTGAAAACAAGAAAAACTTGCTTTTGGCGCCATCAAAAAGGAAAGCCAGATACTTTCCTTTCTACAATTGAAGCCATTTACTACTTTCTGGTAGACTACCATACTGATATATTAAAAGAGAAATACAGAGGGCAATATGACAATCTTTTATTTTTCTATTCTTTTATGTACCAGTTGATAAAGAATGCCAAATGCTCTGGAGATAAGGAGACAGGAAAACTTATACATTAGTTTTTAACAAGCCACTTATGTCCTTTTATTTTGCTAAAATTAATAAACTTATATTTCTGCTTTGTTTTCTCTTAAGAAATAATTATATATAATGCCTGTAAGACCATTTGAAAAAATTAGAGTCTCTCATGTATTACTTTATATTTCTTAAAAGGAAGGAAATTGTATCTAGGGGAATTTTTCAGAGATTCTTTTGACTGAAAAGCTTATTTCAGGAGTTATTTGCTCAGTGAAACCTCAGTTTCATTACTACATTTTAATATAGTGTGTTTTGTCTCTGTTAGACATAACATATTCAATTAGATCTAATTAGCTCTTTATTTCAACATCTTTATATCTTTTCACCTGTACTCATGACCACCTTTAGAGGTAAATGGGGTTACAGTCTACTGGCTGAAAAATAGGTCATAAGTGATTTTTCTTGAGGTTAGTAGCAAACATAGGCAGAACTAGAATTAGAGTTCCAATATGTAGGACTGTTTCTTTAAGTCCTAAGGTTGTTAAAAGCAGAGACTCTGGAGCTAGATTACCTGAATTTAAATCTCAGCCTTTCTACTTATCAGCCATGTCAGTTTCTTCCATTTGTACAAAGCAGGCAATACTGAGCAGCTACCTTATAGGATTAACTGGAAATTAACTGAGTTAATATCGAAGGGGCTTTTAGCAGTACCTTAAATATAATAAGTGTTATATATATGTTTGCTCTTTCTATTTTATTTGGAATTGTGAACTAATAATAATTGAAGCCTGGCTGCTAGTGGCCATCTCTGCTGCCAGGTCAAAAGAGCCTGCCTTAGAATGAAGTCGGCAATGGAAAGCAGAGTGGAGAAAGAAAAAGAGAGACTGAGTCCTGATGACATCATTTACTCACCTAGACCTAGCTGCTTGTGAATAGAGCCCTACTGTGCTGAGTAGCTTCTGTCTACTCTTTTCTATTCTGCTCTCTGCTCTATGAGGTAGGTTCCCTTGCTCTCTTGCTTTTGGTTGGGTTCAACAAAATGGGAAGTACCAGTGGGAGATTAGATGTAGAGGAAAATGAAATGATGTACTTTATTTTCCTCTCCTTTCCTGCCCTGTCATAATCAGTTGGCTTATCAGGAATCCTATCCCTTCTGTTCCCAAGCAGTTATCCCAATTACCTCACTAGGTTTAGTTCCTGCTCCCTCACTTTACCCCTTTTCACTTATGGCTGGTAATAGCTTACAGTTATTGATAGCCCCAGGGTAGTTCACAACCACTTGTTGCTTTCCCTAAACCCTGCTTGGACATTTGTAAATACTGCACTTGTTTTATTACACTCTTCTCAAATGTTCCCATTTGAAGTTGCCTTCTATTTCATTTTGGTACTCTGATAAATTCACCTGTTTGGGTGAAATAATATCACATTTCCTGAAGTATATACAGTGGGACACATCATGCTTTATGGGGGAAAATAGCTCTTGGTGAAATTAATTTGCTGTACATTAGTTTGTTTCCCTTCTAGGGATTCAGAAGGCAACCCATATTAAAGGTTCTGGAAAGTCCTGAAATAAACATTTTGAACTTTTTTTAAGCTGATAGATCTTAAACTTACTTGAATGTGTAGCAACTATTAACATTCCGTGGAAATAGGACATTTGGAATATTGTAATTAAGAGCAATTCCTATTAATATACATGTGGCAACTGAGAATTAAAGAGGTAAGTAAATTGTTGATAGATCATACTCCTAGTTGGTAGCAGAGCCTATTCTGGAATCTGGAACTTCTGATTTGGTTTGGTTCAGTAAGGTCACCATTATATTATGCTATTCATAAAAAGGACTGTGGATTATATAAGGTTTGAACATTATTAGTCTTATAGTCTTAGCCAAATAAATTAACTGGCTTGCTTATTCAGCAGTTATTTTACAAGAATGGAATTAAAATAGTTTTTTAGTTGTTGTTTTTGTTTTTTATGTTTAGAACTTGGCCCTGAGAATACAGGAAGGCTTGAATTGATTTAAGCAGGGCCAAAGTTGGATTTCTCTGGGCTGTTATTTGGACTTCCCTGAGCCAAAATCTATTGCATTTAACTGGCTTTACAAACCAACTAAATGTAACAGTTCAGAGGGAAAAGAAAAAAAAAAGTGAGAGACAGAATAATTCTATCACTCATTTGCCCCCATCTTTCAGCTGGCACAAGAAAGATGACCCACATAGTTGGTAAGAGCCTAATTTACAGCTAAGGCTAGATAAAATCTCAGGTTCTTTTCAAAAGAAGATAATAATGCCACTTAGAACAATGAACTGACTATACTTGTCTGGTTTTTCTTTGGTGTGATAGATTTAATAATGGCCCTAATTCCCTAATTCTTTATTCTTCCCTGTAATCATGGTCATTTTTCAGGTTCCTTTGAATTACTCCCCCCACTGTGATTCTGGGTCATAGGCATCCAGAGATTTAGTGCATTTTTACTTACTCTGTGTTTCTGCTGTCAACATAGAATATGCTTGGCTGAGTTAGCCTGCTGGAGGATGAGACATCCATGGAGCAGAGCAAGGTTTCCCTGGTCACCCTCACTGAATCCTGTCTAGATTGGCTGATGGCCAACCAAACCCAAGATATGTGGAGGATTCCAGCCAAGATCAGCAGAGCCATCTAACTGACACCTACCTGATTCCAAATATATGAGCAAGGAATGTCTATTATGCCACCAAAGTTTTATAGCTATTTATTGTGGCTATAGAGATCTCATTTTTGGATGCATTATCAGATACAGCTTCTTCAAGTACCTAGAATATTCTCAGTCTTGTGTTTCTTGGGCTCTTGACCACTTGCTTTGCCTTAGGTATCACCTCACATAGTAACAGATTACCAGCAGGCTTGTATGATTCCTCTGCTTGAGATCAACTAGCCATATGTTCAGAATCTCTGGCTTATACCAACACTTCTGGACTTTAAAAACTCCATGCCACAATGACTTAAAAGGGCTAGGTGAAGCCCTTTCTTCCTCACTCTTATCAGCCTGGATTGTACCTTTTTTTTTTTTTTTGAGACGGAGTTTCGCTCCTGTTACCCAAGCTGGAGTGCAATGGCCCGATCTCGGCTCACCGCAACCTCCGCCTCCTGGGTTCAGGCAATTCTCCTGCCTCAGCCTCCTGAGTAGTTGGGATTACAGGCACGCGCCACCATGCCCAGCTAATTTTTTGTATTTTTATTAGAGACGGGGTTTCACCATGTTGACCAGGATGGTCTCGATCTCTCGACCTCATGATCCACCCGCCTCGGCCTCCCAAAGCGCTGGGATTACAGGCGTGAGCCACCACGTCCAGCTGGATTGTACCTTTAATAAAGTAGTGGATATATTTCCTTTAGGCTCTCTTCTAGGGAAGTCAGATGTTTTAGTCTGGGTTTATTTAGAAAAGCAGCACTGTTACAAGTGTTAATGAATAAAGAAGTTTAATAAAGAAATTTAAAAGTTTACCCCAATGTGAGAATTACTGGGGTAATAAAGGTCTGGAAGGCTACAGTAAAAGAGATTTAGAGAAGTAGTGACTAACTAGGTCAGCCCAAGATTCTCAAAGTGCTCGTGACTTCGTTTGTAGAAACATGTATATCTTAAGCATATGAAGGTTCTCATTCCTCTCATCTTTCTAGGAGCCCTTTCATCCTGAAAGTCCCCTAAATCCCTTCAGAAGTCTTAAAAAGGGTAAATGGCTATACCTTTTATTTGATCTTTTCTTTGAGGCCATAATAATGGCAGCTCTTTGGTTTGGTCTTTGTATTAGGCTGTGTTTGATGATCACATTTTATTTGATAAGAAACAATTTTGTTTTCTAGTTCTGCATATCCTAGGTTATATATTTTGTTTCAGTTCCATTTGCCTTAATTTTGAGCTTTTCTGTTTCTTACATTTCTTATTTTGAAAAAATAAACTGACTGTTATTAAGTATAATAGGTAAGGTACCTAAGAGTCTCAAAATACTACCAAATGCCATGAATGCATTAGGTATACTTTTTTGTCTTCCATGTTACTGGAAGCATTAATTAGAGCAAATTTTTATCTCCAAATACTGACAGTTAAAAGACCCTAGTGAGGCCGGGCGCAGTGGCTCACGCCTGTAATCCCAGCACTTTGAGAGGCTGACATGGGTGGATCACGAGGTCAGGAATTCAAGACCAGACTGGCCAACATGATGAAACCCTGTCTCTGCAACAACAGCAACAACAACAAAAAAATACAAAAAGTAGCTGAGCATGGTGGCTCATGCCTATAATCCCAGATACTTGGGAGGCCAAGGTAGAAGAATTGCTTGAACTGGGACCCGGGAGGCAGAGGTTGCAGTGAGCCAAGATCGTGCCACTACACTCCAGCTTGGGCTACAGAGTGAGACTCCATCTCAAAAAAGAAAAAAAAAAAAGACCCTAGTGAAAAGTTTAGCCAAACACATATTGACCCTACATTGAAGGCCATCAGCCAAAAATCACCACCCATATATAAGAGCCAGACATCACTAGACACTTGGTGAATCCTTCAAATAAAAAGGAGGGGAGAAAATCCAAAGGAAATAGAGAATAATAATGGCAACAAAAAACAACTATCTTCAAAATAAGAGAGAATATATTGTATTCACAAAACAAGAATAGGAGAGTGTGAAAAAGACCAAACAATAAAAAAGAGATCCCAGAAATTTTTAAATAATTGCTGAAATAAAAATTAAATATATGGTATAAATAAAATTTTTTTGAAAAACATGGTGTTAAGGTTTTACTCTGAGTGATGAGATAGAAAGCAATCAAGATTTAAGCAAAGGAGTGACAAGATTTGACTTATATTTTTAAAGGATTATTTTGGCTTCTTGGTGAAAAATAGACTGCAAGAGAGTAAGAAAATAGGAAGATCAATTGGAGTGCTATTTGGTAGTCCATTTGAGAGACAATATTTGCCTGCACAGGGGTTGTGATCATGGAAGAGTGATACAGAATGACAAGATCCTGCATATGTTTTGAAGGTAGTGCCAGTATTTGCAAATAGGTTAGATACTGTGGTAGACATGAAAATGTGCTGCCTAGATCCCCCTTCCAGGAAGGACTTGCTTATTAGCTGCAGGGAGTGTGGAAAACAGCAATCCTTCAGCTATCAGCACTTGATCAGCAACAGCTATAGAAAAAACTTCACCTGAGGTGACCCTTGCCCTAGATCTCAGGGCTGAACTTAGTGGAGATGTAAGGTCTTGCTGTTTCAGCCTCATTTATTACACTGTCAGGCAAAACCTGCCCCAGAGCTCCCTCTATTGGAACTTGATTTCTTCTGCCCAATCCTGCTTTCTCCCCTTCCCCTGTCAGGTGACACTTTCTAATAAACATCTTACACCCCATACTCCATCTCAGCATTTCTCTTTAGAGGACTCAACCTGTGGTAGTTGTTAGCAGGAGTTATCTGAGCTGCCATTGAGGATCCCATCACATGTGGCACATGGAACAAATAAACCCATGGCTCAAGGTGGTAACTTTTATTAGTGGTAAAAGGAGATTTACCCATGGAAGAGAATGTGCCAGTGAGTGCAAATATCAGGTATTTGAGACGCATGAAGGAAATAGTAGATTTAAGAATAACAGAATTGAATGACCAAGTGCCACTAATGCTCTATAGAAAGAGGGCTTCTTTGGTTGCATATAAAGCTCATCTAGGATTTAATAGTCCAAGTAGCCAAACTAGTGACACTTTCT